TAAATGTTTCAAAAGTTTACTTGCATTTGATAATATGATGTCATGCATCCCACAAGCTGTTAAATGTTACATTCATACACATTTTATGATATTATTGATATTCGGCTGTCTTTCATTTTATGAGTAAAAATGCAATTACAATTCCCAACCGCTAGATGGCGAGTATCTGTATCGGGCGAGTACTGGAAAAAGTGGTATTGGTGCATCCCTAATATTTACTATTGTCTTCTTTTTAGAGCTGCTTTACAGCAAAATTGAATTTTGTTTGCATTATTGATACACTATTTTCCTGTTTAACACTATGAAGCTGCTTTCACACAATCTGTATCGTTTAATATAAATAAAGGTCACTTGACTTGACTTGCACCTCAGTTTTGGAAACAGCAGCTTGACCAGCTAAGACCAGCAAAACAGTAGTTTTGGTTCATCGTGCCTTTGATTCCTAGTCAAAGGGTTTTAAACAGTGTAAATGAGTGATCTTTACTTTTACTTAACTTTAACTGGTGAATTGTTTTTCTCCTTCTGTGACCACTTCTTAACCTTATTTTATGTGACATAAAAACTGAACAGTCTACTAACCTTCCTTTCTCACATCAAAGAGCAGCGCACCTCCTCAGAAGCATCACTAGAAGGAAAGAAAAAACACAATAATTAGTGTCATGTGTGAATGAACTGCTCCTATACGTCTAGTTAAACCCGTCAAAATCTCCCTGCTCCTTTCTGACCTGAAGTAAATGACGTGACCTACTTCTTCCTCCACCTACAGCTCTTTTGTTGGCATAGATAAAAGCAACTCCTCACCACATATCTGACAATGTATAAGTAAAGCACATTCCAGTGCACAGTCTCACTCCCAACCCAACAGAGGAACACTAAAAGAGTTTCAGCCATTATAAATAATTTACAGAATTTTTCATTCGCCCTTTTTACCCCTCTGCAAAAAGCACATTTGGCTCAGGTTAAAAATATATGCTCCACATATCCGCTCGGTGTATGAAGGCGAATCATAACCTGGAGAAGCCCGTGGTTTAGTTGAGTCTCACGTTGTGCGAAAGTCAGTGTTGATGTGAGAATAAATAAATGTGTGACTACGGGTCGTAGGAATATGAAAACGCTAAACAAATACCGTCCCTGACCAAGACTATAAGTACCAACTCAAGTGTTTCTCCATTCAACCGTAAAATGTTTATCCTGCTACTATTTAATCTAACTAATGCACATAATCACTCTCTTTTCTTGTCCCGCTGAATCAAGTGCTTTGCCCTGGGTACCCACGCTTTTGTACGGCCCTGGCATGCTGCAGTGTTTCCATGGAGATCAGGATAAACCTATGCTCCTCCACCAGGCAAGATGGGTGAGGCCGAGCATCCATGTACACACAAACACACCCCCATCTTGGTATCTGACACCAGACAGCACAAATATCTCTTCGCCAGGGGCTCCTCTCCTTTCATATGTGTGCAAATGAATTCATGGCCATCTAAGAGCGGGCGAGATCAACCCCGTCTACCAAAGGCTAACCCAATGGAGCAGGGGCAGCTCTGTCATAGGGCCTTTCAGAAACGGCTAAATCTAGATAAATGCATTTAGCACTGCGTGAAAACTTATTCACAAAAGTGGTGCAATATTTTCCAATTTTTATAATTTTCATAAATCTTCTCAGTTTTGACACTATAATTAGATATAAGGTAGTTCATATTTATCCAAGAAATATTTGCTGGGTGTATAGATCTCTGTGTGCTTTTGTGGGCAACCAGGGACATGTACAGTTTATCCCTCTGCTCATCCTGAAATTATTCATTTCATTAGCTGTTATCAATAATGTAACAGTGTGCTTGTTCAGTTCTACCTCTCTCTCCACCACAACATTACATATGCATTACCACATACACTTACAAAGCAGGTATGTGAGCCCACAAACATACACTAAAACGCACACACTCAAGCACACACAACCTACAAACACCATCTGATGTTTAGATATATCGGTCTGCTCATCACACTATTGGAATCTGTTTTAAATCATTACTCTACAGCACTCAACTATATA